CACACAGCACGCAGACCAGAAAGGGGTCCTGCTCACCAGGAGCACCACCCTCACGGGGATGTTACTCGATGAGAACAGCATCCACACAGCACGCACTGCTCTGTGGGAAAGACATTACCTTTGTCAGCTGCTGCTCAGAGGAAAACCCCAAGCCAAACACTGTGTTAGCTCTGCTGTCAGCCCACTGCCCAAACTTCTGTGATGTTTTTGTGAACGTCATGTTCGGTGTAACTGTGCTGTTGATGATCACCTGCAGAAAAACAACCCAAAATGTGGAAATTTAAACATTGAATTAGACTCCAACATCACTCCTTAGCAAATGTTTTGTTGGCAGAGCCAGTACTTAAAGTGCCCTCTACCCTTACACATTATCTGTGGGAGAAAGTCTCTTCTAAGCAGAGAATAGTTTCCAAACTTGCTATTTATTTCCCCAAGGATGCCAGCCATCAGAGAGCTGTCATGGCTAGCTGTGTCTTACATCCTCTGAAGGGCTCTGCTGTACAGCCATGTTAATCCCAGAGCCCAGCATCCAGCTGGACAATCTGAAATCCCCATTAGCAATTGGGCCCTGCTGCTTCTTGACAGGAAGGAGTATGTACGCTCCAGTTAGGGTGCCCTGCAGAGGGGTAATGGACAAGGAAATTCATTAAACATGCGTGAGCAAGAACAAGGAGATTGTAAGGGACAGTACAGAAATCTGGTGCTAGCTGTCAGCACTCTTGGCTCAGGAAGACGAGGGGTGGGAGGCCACAGATACTCCTTGGCTCAGGAGGACGAGGGATGGGGAAGCTACAGAGCCTAGGAGGGGCCATGGAGAGCAGCTGCCTTGCAAAGACGTATGCACAGCCAGCACCAAGCGATCTCAGTGGAGAGGGAGCCTTCTCCATTCTGATCTCCATTTGCCATTAGCCAAACCCAACCAGAAGGCAGAGGGCCCAGCAGGGCACAGATGTCATCTGCAAGTCAGCCTCCTGGGGACCAGAGCAGGAAGAAGAAGGGCAGTAAAAGGCTGATATCTACCACATGGTGCAATTGTTCATTCAACAAATGTTTATCAAGCACTTGCTGTATGCCAGACATTAACCAAAGACACAAAGATGAATGAATCAAGATTCCTGGTCCCTACCACTTGATCCAGCAATCCTACTACTGGGTATTTACTCAAAGGAAAAGAAGTATTTTATCAAAAAGACACCTGCACTTGAATGTTCACTGCAGCACAATTCACAGTTGCAAAGATGTGGAAGTAATTCATGAGTGGATTAATGAAATGTGGTACATGCATAGCATGGAACATTACTCAGCTATGAAGAAGGATGACTTCATGCCTTTTGCAACAGTTCGGATGGACCTGGAGACCATTATCCTAAGTGAAGTACTTAAAGAACTGAAAAATAAACACATGTCCTCACTATTAAATTGGAATGAACTGATGAGCACACACTAAACACTCTAACACTCAGTGGACACACTCTAAACTCAGTGGACACACTCTAAACTCAGTGGACACACTCTAAACTCAGTGGAAATTAAGTGGAGGGAGAAGGGGAGGGGATGAGAAAAATCTACCTAATGGGTACAATGAACACTATCTGGTGTCAGGTTTGCTTATAAACCAGACTCAAGCATTACAAAAGCAATTCATGTAACTCAAAACATTTGTACCCCTAATAATATTTTGAAATAAAAAAAAGATTCCTAGGTTCAAGTGGTAGGTAGTCAGGAAGAGAGTAGAGACAAGTAAATCATCACCAAACAATTGACATGGGTCACAGAATACAAACACAGGCTTACTTGGGCAGTAATCCCTGGAAGCCTCATGATGCTAAGAAATACTCAGGAAAAGTACCCTTCAATTCTTGCATGTTGACTTAAGGACAGGGGTGGCAAAATCCTCAGGCTGCTTCTTTAACAAACAGCCTGAGCAGGGAACAGCAAGAACGTAAGCAAACATTCTCCAGGATGAATCTGCCAGCAATTTTATTTACTAAAACTAAGTTTATTCTCAACAGCTCTAGAAGAGCTTCCTTTTAACTGATAAAACAGGGAAGAGAAAACATCTTTGAAAGGCACAGGACTGGCTTTCCTAGGTGGGAACTTCAGGCAACTATTTTGCCAAAGGACAGACCTTCCACATACAGACCTTCACCCTAATAGACGGATCTAGAGAGTAAGTTCCCACTGTCACAAGTTAACAGAAGAATCACTAATACATCTATATCTGTCAGTCTCCTGAACTTGCTAATGAGGCGTTCACTTAAAAATAAACCTCAGTTTAGTTGGTAAAATAATTTTTAGAACATTACTGACAGCAACTACTCTTTCTTGAGCACTTGAGTGCTTTACCTATATTAGCTCACTTAAACCTCACAACAAGCCTGTGAGACGTGACTGTCCCTGCATTTCACAGAAGAAAACTGAGGTTTAGGAAGGTAAAAGCAACTTGCCCAAGGTAATAAGCAAAGATGGCAAACAGCTGACCCTGCAGACAAAAACTGCCCAACTCCAAACCCTGTCCTGTGGGCTTCTGTACAACACAGCTTCTTGTTTTATGTATGATAAAGACCACAAATGTTGTCTCCTCTCTTCTTACTCTACCCACAAGGCATGGATGTACCTTCACTGCTGTCCAAGTGACTTTTTCTTTCTCTGTGATAGCTCATCTCTGGGACTTAGGACACTTTATCAAATAATTTCCATCAGCTGGGCCTGGTGGCTCATGCCTTATAATCCCAGCACTCTGGAAGGCCCAGGCTGGTGGATCACCTGAGCTCAGGAGTTTGAGTCCAGCCTGAGCAAGAATGAGACTCCCATCTCTAAAAATAAAAAAAACTAGCTGGGCATCAAGGAGGGAACTTATAGTCCCAGATACTCAGAAGACTGAGGCAGGAAGATCACTTGAGCCCAACAGTTTGAGGTTGCTGTGAGCTATGACACCATGGCACTCCACCCAGGGTGACAGAGTGAGACTCTGTCTCAGCAAAAAAAAAAAATTCCATCTGGAAAATAGAAAATAGAGCCACTGGACACTTAGGAAACGCGGCAGGAAAAGGGGGAATGGGAAACACAGGCAAGAGCAGGAAAATGCAGACCTGAGCAGTTGGTGGGTCTCCAGCTCAAACCCCAGACAAAACAGTTAAGGGAACCAAGGTGGACCTAGAAAGGCATGTGGCTGGGAGGTGATCAGAAGGGCTCACGTGATCCAGAAAGGCAGCCCTGCCTGCCTATCTCTCAATCACCAGGATCCTGGGAGGGCAGAACTATGACTACACCCATCCAGAAACTTGGCTCATTTTAACTCTTGCTGCAGCCTCCTTGCTGACCTCTGCCCAATGTCAGCCAACATCATTTTCTTGACACCTTGAAAGGCAGTGGACAGAGGCTGAGCAGAGTATAGGCTGTTGCTCTCACACAGAGTCAAGTAAGCTAGATACTGGTGATGCTCCTGTATTTCTTTAGAGCATGGCAGTTCTTAAGGTACTTTTCATGCAGTCTTTTACCTAATCCCCATTTTTTATAGACAGTTGATTGACTTGTTCAGGTTGTAAAACTAATGAGTAGTTAAAAAGAACATGGCATATGTAAGCAATGATCAGCTGATTTTAAGAGCTAAAATCTTTACCATGGTTGGGGATTCATTCAGCTTCTCAGATCTGTGGCCTCATCACCAGTTTTAGAAAATTCTCAATCCTTCTCTCCCTGAATACTGCTTCTGTTCCATTCTCTCTCCTAGCTTCTAGCTTCTCCTTCTGGGACTCCAATTACACACATCCAGAAGTGTCCAAGCTTTTTTTTTTTCCTGCCACATATTAGAAGAAAAAGAGTTGTCTTGGGCTACACAATAAATATGCAAACACTAATGAAAGCTCATGAGTTAAAAGAAAGGTCTGCTCCTAATTTTTGCAATCTCTGACACCACAGATAAGCAAAAATGGCCTCAAATAATCCAAATGTGGCTTGCAGGCTACAGTTTGGACATCCCTGAATTCTGGATGGTTTCAATGGTTTTACAGTCATTTATTTACCCACCCTGATTTTTGGTTTTCTCTGCTTCAATGTGGGTATTTTCCATGGACTTGCCTTCCGGTTCATTCATCCCAGCTACTTATGTTAAACCAGTCCACTGAGATCTTAACTTCTTATATTTTTTAGTTCTAGAATGTCCATTTAATTCTTTTTCCAAAAAAATTAATTCTAAGTCTCTGGGGATATTCTCTTTCATCTATTTCATCATTTCCCCCTCTACTTCCTCAAATATATTATTCACAGTTGTTTTAAGTCCTGATGCTACTGCTAATATCTGAGCCATCTTTGGATCTGTTTCTATCATCTGGGCTCTTCTTGCTCTTGACTCCAGGATTATGGACTGGTTTGCTGCATGTCCAGTAATTTTTTTATTGTATGTTGAGAATGGGTGTACAAGACCTGTGAGGGCTCCGATGTCACCACCTACCAGACAAACTGCAGGCTGGGTAGCTAGGGGACACCCTCCCCATTCAGGGATGGAGCTGACGGAGGGCTGGGTTTCCATTCTGGTGAGACTCTGTCTGCTTCTGGTTCACCCCTACGTTTAGGGCAGGATCTTTAGGAATTTCACTTGTGAACCTGGCAGGTCTTTATTTCCTTTGCTCTGAGAGACTTTTGGCGATTGAATTCTGTCTTTGAAGAATTTTTAGCTTAGTTCTACAGCCTTCCAAAAGCATGCATCTTCAAAATTTGGCAAAGCTTTAAGAGGAAACTGGCCACATGTTTGGTTCCAGTTAAGTCTCTCCATTTTGTCATTCAAGTTACATGTGGATACCAGCTCTCTGCTGGCTTCCCTCTCTGCCAGCATCAGTGGCCTCTGCTGGTCCTAGAAACAATGAGTGCTCAGGTGCCAGTGTGCAGGCCTTCAGGGTCAATGTCCTGTTCTCTGGGGCTTTCATGTCTGTACTATATATATATTTTTTAAGCCCTTGGCAGGTCTTTCCATGCACTGTAAATTTAAGGAAAATAGTGTTCTGCCTCTTAGAGATGTGTAGCCTAACTCTTCACACTCTGGAACAGACCTGGATCTCAGCAAATGGGGAAAGCCAGTCCTGGGCTTGAAGCTCCTCAAGTGTCCTATTTTGTCAACCTAGCCCTATACAACTGCTAAATTCTTTGTTGGTTTCCCCTTTCCCCAGCGATATCGCTCTGCTGTAGCCAAGTCCCGATATGCCACCTGCACCCAGAATCGGCAACTGCTCCCATGAGAGAGAGAGCTGCTGA